TGGCCGAGAGTCCCATTGGTTTCTCGGCCAGGAACCTAGCCCTCTGATTGGGGCGGGCTAGGATCCACCTGGTCCATTGTCTCTAGGAGCGAAGCTTGAGGTTTGTCTCTGGACAAGTCTGGACATGTCCGGACTTGTCAGGACTTGATACACTACACCAGCAATGTTTTAATCCAGGTATAAGAGAGAGAGAGAGACCTAAGACCAATAACGTTTTATTCCAGGTATGTGTGCGTGTGAGTGTATCCTGTGTTTAAGACCAAAATGTTTTAAGACCAAAAATGTTTGATTCCAGGTATGAGAGAGAGAGTGTCCTGGTTTAAGACCAAAAACATTTTAGTCCAGGTGTGTGTACATGTGTGTATGTGAGTGAAAGAGAGTGTCTCCTGTGTTTAAGACCAAACACGTTTTATTCCTGATATGAGAGAGAGACAGAGCGTCCTGTGTTTAAGGCCAAAAATGTTATTCCTGGTATGAGAGAGAGAGAGTCCTGTGTTTAAAACCAAAACCATTTTATTCCAGGTATAAGCTTTTGTGGGCCAGCACACTTCAGAAAGAGGGAGGGAAGGGGGAAAGACCAGAGAGCATGCCAGGGGGGGAGGGGAGGGAGTCCCAAGGTACTTGGAGAGAACCCCCTTTCTATTTCTAACAGATTGGGGGGGGGGAACCTAACAGCACAGCTTGCATTCCTTATTAGTGAATGGGAGCAAGATTACAGCAACACTGTAAGGACTAACAATATTTGTGGCAGGGCATGAGCTTTCATGAATCACTGCTCAGTTCTTCAGCTACAGCTGAAATGTGAGTCCATCTGTCCTTATATCTTGGAGAGTGAATTCAGCTGCCAAATGACAAGAGCAGACATTGGTAATGAGAGAAGAAACACAGGTCTCAATCTAGTCCAGGAGTTTGCATTGTCTTGAGCTTCATGATCTGTTGTAATTTAGCAGTTTCTCTTTCTAATCTCCCTTTGAAATCTCTTTGTATGAGCACTACTACTCTTACGTCAGCAACTGAATTTTGTGGTTTCTTTGTCAGACTTATATCCATTTATTCTTTGCATCCTCCTCGACTGAATCCTCCTGGATGGAATTGAGACCTAGGTTTCCTGTCTAATTACCAACACTGGTATCTCCACACCTACTACGCCTCTGCATATCACACCTAATCCAATCAAGCCTGCTATTGTCATTCACCTCCTATTGACATTCAACATCTGAAATCACCTTTATAAAGTTTATATCTCTGGTACCTCATGCTATATTTTATAGCATGCATGGCTCAGCTCAACAAATAATAATAAATAAATAACAAAGTGACATTTATGTCAGATCCAGCCCTCATAACAAATGAGTTCAATACCTCTGCCATACAGGGCTTTAAAGGTCAGCACCAGCACCCTGAATTGTGCCTGAAATCAAATTGAGAGCCCGTCTAGATCCGCCAAGACTAGACAGATATGGTCCCTATGACCCACTCCAGTCAGTATTCTCGTGGCAGCATTCATCACCAACTGAAGTTTCTGAACACTTCTCAAGAGCAGCCCCACAAAGAGTGCATTGCGGTAATCTGATCTAGATGCAACAATGGAAAGGATCCAAACAATTTGACTCATCCAGGAAAGCCTGAAGTTGTCCAGCCACCACCCTTTCAATCACCTTGCTCAAGAATGGAACATTTGAGACTGGTCGATAGTTATTGAGATCTCCTGGGTCTAGGGTAGGCTTCTTTAGAAGTGGATGCACCGCAGCCTGTTTCAAGGCTGGGATGACCACCCCACTCTCTCAGTGAGGTATACCACTCAGACCCTGTGAGCCGCCACCACCACCACCCCGCAGATTTAAGTAGCCAGGAAGGGTAAGGGTCATACAAGAAGGTGGTAGGCATCAAACTTCCAAGGTTCCTGTCCATATCTTCAGACTGAATAAACTGAAAAGTATTCCAAACAACCAGACAGGTAGGCACCAGTGTTCCCTCTAAGCTGAGTTAGTGTGAGTTAGCCTCCAGCTCACACATTTTTGTCTTAGCTCAGGAAGGATGGCTCCAGAGCAAACTGATTTATGCAGCAGCCAAATCACTCGCTCACAACTTTAATGCCAGTAGCTCACAAAGTAGAATTTTTGTTCACAAGACTCCACAGCTTAGAGGGAACATTGGTAGGCACCCTGATACCATCTGACCTTGTCACTGTTAATGTAGACTCCAAGTCAGAATGGATGTGAGACATTTCAACTGCAAAGTGTTGAGCAAAACAGTCACAGTGGACTAGGGATGCCAGTTCCCAGGTGTGTCAAATAACAAATATATACACTGCAAAAACCTTTTTTTGTAAATTAATGTGTTCTATTTGTTAACTACCATCTTATAGGAGCAAACGGGGGCAATCCCACCGCAACATCTGGGAAGCGTTGCTTGCCCGTCCCCGATCCGGCCCTTCCAATGATAACCAGCAGCAAAAAAGAACCACCTACCGAGGTGGTTCTTTCCGAAAGGCCGCATCAAAGCCGGCCGTGGGATTGCCGGTGCATTCTTCCGCTGGCGCATCCCCGGCTCCTGGCCAAATTGCACATGCTCAGACCTGTGCAGTTCGGCAGCCTCCCGTGGCTTTCTCCCCGGTCTCCCCGGCATCTGATCATGCCGGGGAGCAATTGCACGGCGGCTCACGGGATCTGTATGATCCCGCCGCCGCATGCCTATTTTGGTGCGGCTTTTAAAAGCCACACTTTGCCCGTCCTTTTTTTCCCCTCGTGTGGCAGGGACCTTGGTATACAGATACCACAGTAGTTCCTGACCTACATATCTTTTAAGTAGTGGTATCGACTGGAAAGAAAAAGGGGAAGGTACTGTCACAGCCTAGTTATTAGTCATCCCCTTTCCAGTGTCATGCAGGAAGGAGTAAAGCTCTGTGATACTTTGTATAGCTTCCTGATGCAATCCATAACCATAAAAAATATCTTTCTATGTACTTTGACAATATTGTCTGTTAGTATTGTACCAATTAAAGCTTATCTTTTTAAAACTTCAACAGAACCATTATAAACTGCAGTAACTTAAACACAATTTGTAAAGCTTCCCCCTAGCACCATAACTGGCTAAAATATTTGGGAATTGTGATGTCTTGGGGTATTTACAAATAATAGTTCAAAGTTAATATTCCAGCAGTTATGACTAATTTAGTGGCTGCTCTTTGGCTGATCTGCATTAGAAGAATAAGGCTTACAGCCTTACATAATGTTATTTGGTAGTAACATTTATTCCTACTTTCTGAGCTGCATGCTATCTCCTTTATAAATTTTCTAACTATTTGAAGTCTCCAACTACTTTACATACTTCAAAGGTAAAAAAAAAAGGGTTGGATCCAGCAATGTGTGAGCAGAAAGCAATAGCACAAGGTAATCACTTCAACATAATTTTTAATGACATGTGATAAAGCAATGGAATGTACTGCGGACAGTTTGTGTGACATTTGTTTTTGAAACTGTACCAGAAGAAATATCTTGTGCTATGTTTTGCGCGCATACACACACACACACACACACAAACACACACCCCAGATGATGAGGATGCAATCACTTTCACTTAGTGCAAACAGATAGTGAGGAGTAATTTCAGCACTGCAGCTTTTCCCAAGTCTGTTGTGCACTCAGAAAGCTCCTATGGGATCCAACCCTATCTGGATGATGAAACAGGCAACTAAAAAGTTTAATTTTCTATTAGGCTTAGCAATTTTATTTTTAAAAAATTCAAGAAGCTGAATGCTACAATTTACATTCTCAAATCAAATTGTGTAGCTGAAAGTGTTCTATTCAAATCAGTTAAACACTAGTTGAAGTTGAACAAAGTTTGAGTCCACCCAGGGGTCATTTCGTAGAAAATGAGGACCAGGAGCTCATTAGCTTAACTCATTAGCATAACTTATTTGCATACACCACACCCCCTGACATCACTGGAAGTGTGTCAGAAGGCAACACCCACTGCTCAGGCTCCACTGGACTGTTTTGGATTGCTAGCTATTGGGGGGGGGGACGTGCAGATCTGTCCTCGCAGAGAAAGGAGAGCTTGTACCTGAATAAAACTTGGTCTTAAAGGTGCCACTGAACTGTTTTGGGCCGGGGGGCTCTGCAACTTACCTGGCTGCATCTTGCTCTGACTGAGGGCTGCTGGAAGCAGGGGGTGGGGCTTGTTGCATGTGCCTGCCCCCTGGGCTCTTTACTGCCAGAGCTCTGCTCCTGTGCACTCCTGCAGGAAATGACCCCTGAGTCCACCTTTAAGTCCAACAAAGTTTTTTGATCTATGAGAAGGCTGTATCAGCAATGTGTTAACCTTTTCATGCCTTTGCCCTATTGTAAGCAAGCTGAACATATATATCTTAGAAAATAAGAAGAGAAGAAATGAGCAAAAGACAGCATAGTTTGAAAGCAAATATGACTGACTGCAATAGAGTAAGGAATATGCTGGTGGGGTTATGCTTCCTTTAAAGGTGAGTGTGGTCTAGGTCGATCCCTTAATTCTCCATACAAATTTTCTCTTCAACAGGACATGAAGATGCATCCGTTTCAGTTCTCACATGGTGTCATGTCTGCGACATCTGTCTTTACCAGACTTGAAAACCACCCACGTTCTGTTAAAAAAATTATAAATATAAACAAGATACTTATCATAATGTGTTGCTGCTACAGTCGCGCTACATACATTTTGGCACAAGTTATATTTTGGCACGTTAAATTTTAAACATTCAGTTCGGCAGAATGGTAAACATAAATGCTAAATGATGTTAAGCAACTTGATCTTTTTTTTGCATGAAGTAGTTAGGTATAATATTGTGGCATTTTACCTTTTCCAAATAAAATTGTACTTAAAAGATGATATGACTTTTTGTCTCAATAAATTTAAAATATTATGGAATTGCAAAACACTCATTGCCATCAAGTACATATTTCAAGCCTCCCATTATAGTTGCTTTTACAAAGTCATTCTAGTTCTCATTTTGAACCCTAATGTCAAAAAGTCTGTCCATAAAGCAATTTGTGAAACATATCTTTGCTGATTCCCCTGCACTCTGAAAAGTAACTCATGAGGGTGAAGAACTCTCAAACACCATGGGGGTAGAGCCCAGGAACTATTTGCACAAAAGCGTATGGGGGCTGGGGAATTCTGGTAATTTTCCCTACCCCCCCCCCCAAGTGGCATCACATGCTATTCTGGAGGTTCCCCCAACTGTCCAGAGCAGTTTTTCAGGTGGCACAGGGATCTGCAATAGGAAAGGTAAGGTGTAAAACACCCCTTTTGTGAACCCCTTCTGTTCACAGATTTTAAGTTGAAACTGAAACAACAAAAGCCTCAAAAGGCTTAGTCTAAGTTTGTTACTGGTTTTTTTCTCCTGTGTCTGTTTTATGCAGGATCTGCTAGACCAGGAAGTCTCAAAAACTGGGGACAACAGGAAACAAGGAGTGTATATTTCAAAAGTCACTAGGAAATTGGTGTACATCTTTCTGAGGAATGACCCATTGGATGGATAATTCATTTCCAGTTTCTGGGACCCTCTGAATGCAACTGGTTTCATCTTCAACACAGATCCATCAAATCAGTGCTGTAGGCTGATGCCACCATTAGTTTCAACATTGATAAGAATGATTTTGCTGTATGCCTAGGCTTGTTATGAGAGGTAAACATATAGAATTTCCCTAGTTTGCATACTAATTCAGACTGCATGTGTTTCATAGCCTAAATCTCAGTCCCACCAAAAAACAGGGCAAAATTTGTAATTGTCTTCATTTGATCTTCATAACCCTGCTATGAGAGACTTGCTGCCTTTTCTCGCTTCATCTACCATGCTAGTAATTATTTGAGTAATCTCCAGATCCCAATTATCCTGCAACACAGCAGGATGATAAATGTAACATCAGATCTGCTCTTCCATTTTTCTTCTAACAATGAAACCATTAGCCACCTATTCTGGCTTTACTTCACATGTTCAATTTATCAAACTAAGACTATTTAACCAACCATACCTTTAAAACAGGCAGGGGCTGTGAGATTACCATCTATGCACTGAGCAGGTACAGTATAGCTACAGTATTGGTCTTTATTTTTGCAGAAGAACCAGATGGTCTCAGCATGCTGTATCCCTCCTTTGAGATGGTCTTGCACTTTTGCTCTCTGTTGATTGTATAACACTGTAGCTCTATTAACTGGTATTTTACATGGTGCTGCAAATATATAAATAGCATTGTTTAGACAATCAGGACTCTTCTGCAAGTATCACATTGAAACATTATGCATGCCAAGACCTTTATTAATACACCAAAGTTCAACTGATGGTGGCTATTCAATTAATACATTGTTTCCCATATCTAGCATGAAGTGGCAGTGTCCAAGTCTCTGTGAGGTTCATCTATAATATGTCCGGAACTCTGACAGTTTCTTCTAAAATATTTTTTTCAGTACAAATAATGTTGGTCAGGAATCTTGGCCCCAACTTCCACTGAAAGCGGTGGAATTTATGTTAGACACAACTAACGTTTGCTGCACTGGGGCCAAAGTGTTTTTATCTTGTACACTGGAAAACTTCCAGATAAGCCAGCCATATATGAATGGAAACTTTCTCAGATATTTAGTTGTAGATCAGATTGACCAAGACCTACAAGCTGGTACCCATACATGGTGTATTAAGCATGTATGAGAATGTTTTTTAAAATAATTCTACTCACATTCAAGGTTCACCCCAAAAAGTTAGTGTTTAGCACCTACCTGTTGCGTGAGACAGGGAAATCTTTCATAAAGATATCCTAAATCTCGTAATCACTTTTAAGAAAACAAGCTAGTGTATGTTTACAGATTTTCAAGATGTCAAATTAGACCTTTGCAACTTGGTTTTGTTGACCAGTCTCCTGTTTTTTCACATGTAGACTCTGCAGGTCCATTTAACACATAAGTAGGATTGCAGCCATAGGTCACTCTATCTTTATACTGATAAGTTCTGTGAACAGCAAAGTTTATGAATCCATTTTCTATTTCTGCTGGATATGGACATTTCACTTCTGTATTGGGAAAAATAAGACACATAGAAGTTATGATTTATGATGAGGTATCTAACAAGGCTTTGTGTAGTGGTTTGGTGTAGTGGTTAAGTTTGGTGTAGTGGTTAAGTGTGCGGACTCTAATCTGGGAGAAACCGGGTTTGATTCCCCACTCCTCCACTTGCACCTGCTGATGTGACCTTGGGTCAGTCACAAGCTCTGGCACAGCTGTCCTTGAAAAAGAGCAGTTTCTGTCAAGAGTTCTCTCAGCCCCACCCACCTCACAGGGTGTCTGTTGTGGGGAGGGGAAGGGAAAGGAGTTTGTAAGCCGCTCTGAGACTCCAAGTGAAGGGCGGGGTATAAATCCAATCTCTTCTTCTTCTTCTTCTTCTTCTTGTGTTCTAAGTCTAAAATAAGACATGGCACTGATTCCCAGATATGGTAATATAACAAGGGTAATGATGGGATCATTTTTCCCATTGGAGAACTTGTTCACTCCTGTGGTAAGAAGTGTTTAAAATAGTAAAATAGTCTTTGGAATACTTACTTCTGCATTCTGGTATCTCACTCCAGTTCTGCGAGGCCAGACACCTAGCAGTTTCATTCCCAATTAATGCCAAAGGCAACAAACATTCAAACTTGATTTCATCTTGGAAAACAGATATGTTTCCAGGCTTAAGTCTATGGTAAGAGAGGGCTCCAAATTCAGAAATGGGAGGTGGAGGACAAATCACAGCTGAAAAACAAAAGCATCTTCATTTTACAAGATGCAAAAACTCTTATGCCTACCTGGCTCAACATCACACAGAAGACTTTTCTATAGTACTGTCAATGCAATTATTGTGTGTATCAAGAGAGATAGTCACCTCTGTATCAATCAAATCAATCTGACAGTGTAAACATCAGTGTTTGGCACTGTCATAAATTTAAAAACTTAGCCTGTTTCCTGATGTGCCATCCTAGTGTTAAAAAATAACATGGGGAGAGTTCCACATCAAAAGCTTACCACTCTTCCACTGTTCCCAAGCCAAGATGAAAAGCTTGAGATCAAACCTTTCAATATCAAAGCAATCTGACTTAATGACTCTCAGGTGGGAGGGAGGAGTCTTAGAGAATCATCTTTTGGATCACATTATTGATTGGTTTATACTAGTCAGGGGATCAGTGGTGGAGTTTCCTATAAAGTTAGCTTAACAACTATCTGGTTTTCCAAGCATGGCCCACTAATACACCATCTCACTGCATCTCCAACCTGCTGCTTTGTTACTAATGCTGATTTGAAGATGTTGTAACCTGCCTGCCTTAAGGTATGTATATTTATGTAGGAAGATAGATTTTTTTATTTTATTGCACCTGCTTATTCTGGCCTTATGCTTAAATCTGAACCACTTTTTAAATCTTTTCAATAAAGCCTGTTGCTTTTATTGGTGTGTTCTACTGCATGTGTGAGAGTCCAACCCCAGAGTCAGTCAAACTATCAGAAGGGGATTTGTTCCAGGGTCCCAGATCTGGGGACAAGGGGATCAAATAATCTTTGCAAGGACGCGGTGGGTCAGAAACCCCTGTTTTTGACAGCATGTACTTTTGAATTGGTCTTCGATCAGAATAAATAATTAATTCATTTCATAGTACTGAATGATACTATGAAGGAGCATTGGCTAAAACTGGAAAAATGTTAATTAAAGAAGATCTATTATGATGATTATCACTTGTTAGAAAACATATCCCATCCTATCATTCTCAAAGAATGTCATGTAGGTGAAGGGACAGAATACAGCAAATGTGTGTTCCAAAGAAGCAGAGTTTCCCCAATCTATGTTGCCACCCCCAAATGATTTTTTCCCATTCTTAATCCTTGCTTATGCAATGGAGAGATTTATGTGTATTTATGTGTTTTTCTAATCTCATCTAAAATGGTGAGAGAAGTCTAGTTAAAAAAAAATTAAAATGAAATGTGTGTATAAAGGGAGCAAAACTCACCCCCCCACACACCTTACCTTGTTGCTTTCAGTGTTTTTCTTCCAGCATGACTCCAATATCCAAAGTCAGCCAGGCTGGATTCTGAGAGCAATCAAGGTCAGCCTGAAAACCAGCAACTGCCAAGATTCTCATTAAAAGATGTGGCAAATACAGCTATTTAGCCATCACCATCTCGTCTTAATTGTTCTAATCCTTAATAGTGACAAAACCACCCTTGTGAAATTAACTTTAGCATGAATGCATCTTTCACAAAGCATTGCACTTCCTTGCCTATTGTTTTCAAGTATCACAACAGAAGTACTTCAATCTATTTGATGTTTGGAGGTGGGTTCTGTGAAAAGAATTCCCATTTCCAAAACAAAAAATCTTTTTTTATTCCTTGTCAAAGGAACTTTTATATTTTTTTTTATTAAAAGAGACACATTTTAAGATTAATCTGCATTCCCAAAGTGGGACATTTTAAACTGTTTGTTAAATATTTGTAAAGAACTGTTGCATTCTTCAGCTCTCTATAAATGTCATTTTGATATCCCTGCCAGTGACTGATAGTTACATGCACACTATAAAATTAAGGCTGTGGTCACACACACTAAATAATCCACTTCCAGTCCACTTTCAATGCACTTTCCAACTGGATTTTGCCAGTTCACACCAGTAAAATCCAGTTGGAAAGTGCCCTGAAAGTGGATTATTTAGTGTGTGTGTGACTGCAGCGAAAGATTGTATTCTATAGATTTCATCTATACATGTTCCTGGCTGCTATTAGAAATCCACCCTCCTCTACTCCACAAATACATCCTTATTTGTGCGTGTGAGGAGGCAACAGATGTCCTACAGCCTAGTATTCTTTCTCATGTAAGGGTTGGCTTAATTTGTGCTGGATTGCTGGTTTCTGCTAAGAGGCAATTTTCATACTTCAGGTTAAGATAATTTAATATAAAGAAATTGCTTAGGTTACATATGTACACAGGGTTAACAAACTCCAGGTGGGGCCTGAGGTTCTTCTGGAATTACAGCTAATCTCTGGACTACAGAGATCAGTTCCAGAAGAAATAGCAGTTTTGGAGGACAGCCCCTATGGTCTCACATCTCTGCTGAGCTTTCCTGAACTCCACCCACCCCAGACACTGCCCTGAGAAACCCAGTCACCTCCAAAGCTGGAATTGGCAATGATATGTTAGAACATTTCAGCATTCCAACAGGTATGAATATACCTTTAAAAAACGGATAACCCCATGTGCTGGCTGGTCAGTCCCCTACAAATATACATAATACCAATAATTTATCCTACATACGTTGGCACTCAGGTAGCTTTCCACTCCACTGTCCATCTGCGAGGCATTGGCTGGTATTAGTTCCATGAAGACTATACCTGTGAGTTAGAAGGTATATCTCTAGTCAGGAAAAGGAATCAGGCAGTAGGTGATGTGAAAGACCTCTCTGCCTGACACCCTGGAGAGTAGCTGCCAATCTGAGTAGGAAGTAATGACCTTGATGGACCAGTGTTCTGATTCAGTAAGCTTCATATATCCATTACAGATCCTTAGAATAGTGGCAAAAACTCAGTAATATATGTATACTTAACAGCCTTATATATGTATACTTAACAAAAAAAAAACTGGACCAGTGTTCTGATTCAGTAAGCTTCATGTATCCATTACAGATCCTTAGAATAGTGGCAAAAACTCAGTAATATATGTATACTTAACAGCCTTAATTTTTTTGTGTTGCTCAGGAGTGGCTTTCCTTCTATTACAGGAGGAGTGCTCAGCCAAGTGCGTGTGGGGGATTGTATAACATACAGATATGGAATATGATTTATAATATTCTGTAGTAGAAGTTGTATGCACTAGTGAATGTATTTAAACAATATAAATTGGCCCTGACAAGCTACCATAAACTACACTGATTAAGGATTCCTGGGCTATAAAAGCAGTATCTATTTGTAAAACTTGCAAATTATGTTTCTTTCAGACTTAGTTTTCTACTATCTGCCATCAGTGCTAAAATCAGACAATGTGTGGAGGTAAAATAGGGGTTTATCACAATATTTACAGCTGTTGAAAAGCTGGCCTCTGAACTCTTAGTTTTCAAGAAATGTTTATAGAGGAGCCTTTAAGAATATAATGCCATGGGTGTGGAGCCAGGTGGTTTGATGCTAGGGTTCCAGCATGGGTTGGGAAATACCTGGAGATTTTGGTGTGCAGCCAAGGGAGGACAGGGTTTGGGGATGGGAGGGACCCCAGCAGTGTGAAACGCCATAGGGTCCACCTTCCAAAGCAGCCATTTTCTCCAGGGGAACCAATCTCTGTAGTCTGGAAATCAGTTGTAATAGCAGGAGATCTCCAGGTGCCACCTGGAGGCTGGCAACCCTCTGTTGTCACCCCTAAGAGTCCTGGGAAGTCCTCACCCAGCATTAAAGTTTGTTCTAAAAATTCACTGAATATATACCAAAGTCATCCCAACTACTCAAGTCCCTGGCATACTTTATTTTCTGTGTACCATACAGAAGACTGCATTCTACCAAAACAGTTGGTGTGAAGTACATTTTAGAAATTATAGAAACAGCATAGAAGTTTCTTAGGTGGGGTTAGCTACAATGCTATTGCAAGGTCTGTTTGATACAATAGGGGAGGCAGTCCACAGAAACCTGTATTACATTTTCAGACTCTCTCTCTCTCATATACTTTAATCTCATATACCCTTCCTATAACAATTCCTCATCAGTCTAACAGAGACATCCTACTGAGGTCTATCCAAAGGGGCTTACTCCCAGGGAAGTGTCCTCAGGATTGGACTATAAAGAGCTCTATTCAAATCCTTAACCACTGAGTTTGCTAATACTTTCTCCTCTTTCAGTTCCTTAGATCAATTTGCCCAATCCCCCATCAAACTCAAATCTTATTGGCTCTTGCAACTATGAGTAAATTATTATTACACTTCTATCACATGGCTCCCAAGGATTGTGGCTCCCAAGGATAGGTTAAAGATGATTGCCTGGGAAGCACCCCAGGGTGTCTGTTGTGGGGAGGGGAAGGGAAAGGAGTTTGTAAGCCGCTCTGAGACTCCAAGTGAAGGGCGGGGTATAAATCCAATCTCTTCTTCTTCTCTTCTTCTTCTTCTCTCCTCTTTCAGTTCCTTAGATCAATTTGCCCAATCCCCCATCAAACTCAAATCTTATTGGCTCTTGCAACTATGAGTAAATTATTATTACACTTCTATCACATGGCTCTTTCCTAATGATTGTGGCTCCCAAGGATAGGTTGAAGATGATTGCCTGGGAAGCA